CCAACCTCCAGGAGAGGGGCCAACGCAGCTTTCGGGCCTCTGCATGAGGGACCCAGGACCTCCTGGGAAAGGCCTTCGAAACCACCGAACCAAAGAGATGCTAAGGGGAGCCCCGGTGCATGCTGGGAGCCCTGGTGGACTTTGTTCCGGAGGCCGGTCTTCGTGCCAAGGCGCTTTGGGCCACAATCAGTGTGCTCCAATAGGAAGACTACTGGAGCCTACGGGGCGGACGGGGAGTTTGCCACAGGTGGGGAAGAATCAGAGGCAGAGGAATGGGGGCTGCGTTTATATGCTCAGTGTCTGTGCTTTTTTTTTAGTCCCTGCTCTGAGTTCTGGGCTGAACCGGGGGGGAAACTCACCAGACCTTGGGCTGGATTCTTCTCAGCTCTGGGCTCTGCCTGATCCTCTGTTGGTGCCTGATACTGGCAGAGGGAATTTCATCCAACAATAGACTATGTCTCTGATCCACTAGCTGGACCAGGCCTCTGCCCAGTCAAAGAAGGAGCCAGGGTTCTGGCCTGATGCTAACAGCGACCACCAGTAATTCAGTCTCCTCCTTTTCGCCTTCTCTTTGGCCTTGTCTGGGCCAGCAAAGTGCCCCAGTTTAATGACACAGATTTAAAAATGCACAATGCAAAGCACTCCTGGGGACACACTCGGGGCTTGCCGAACACAGAAGTCACACCAGTTTAACAAACCATGTGGTTAAACCCTTGTGTGGACACCTTTCGATCAGTTTCAGATTGGTTTAGCCTGCACCCGTAATAATAATAGAAATGTCTTGTCTTAAATAGCGCTTTTCATCAGTAGATCTCCAAGTCTGTATTATCGTCATTCTACAGATGGGGAAACTGAGGCCCAGAGAGGTCACCCAGCAGGCCAAGCTGTGACTAGACCTCAGATCCCCTCTGACCTCAGTGCAGTGTATGCGCAATGCCACAATTCACCTTTCCTAGACCCTAAGCTCCAAATAAGTGAGAGACTTGCTAGCTCTGAGGATACTGAGAATTTAAGCATGATACCATGGAAAGAAACTTACAGACCTTGCACTGGCTGCTTGGGTGCAAAATTAGAGCTACTTAATGGGTGAGCTACTACATTATGGCCTCATGTGCCTCAGTTTCCCCATCCAACTGGGGATAATGATGTTACCTTGGCCTCATATGGGACAGGGTGAGGGGTCATTCATATTGGCAAAACTATTATTATTCTTCACACAAAGGTGGAGATTTTTCAAGCTGTCTAGGGGATTCATTTCAATGGGAGTTACGTGTCTAAGTGGAACAGGCACTGGATGGGGACTCAGAACATCTTGGTTCTATTCCCAGCTTCTGGTGGGTGACCCTGCATGCCTCAGTTTCCCCTCCCACCCTTTGTCTATTTAGACGGTGAGATCTTTGGCATGATAAAGTCCTGATCTCAGCTCGGGCCTCTGGCAGGTTAATGACATATACAGCTGGCCAAGACTCATGATATTTGGCATTTTAATTAAAGCACCAGCTCCTGGAGTCATGTGATGATAAAATAATCCCCCTTGACGGCTTTGAAAATCTGTTCCTTTGGGGATTTCCTGGTTCATTAGAGCAAGAGGGGAATCTGGGTGTTGAGAAATTCGTGAGGAAGATAGGAGAGGAGGATCGTTTTCTACATGACAAAGGAAGGAGGGTGGGTGTGGGATGCATCAGACCTGTGTTTTGCCCTCTAATCCTCAAGGAACCCTAAAAATTCCACAGGACAAAAATAATTAGTGTGAAGGAGGTGGGGAAGGGGAGCGGGGGACGTGGCTGATAACGGGTAAAACTCAGATCAGCAGAAACAACAATGTTCTACAGGATCACGAGTGAATCCCACAGCGGATGCGGCAAGGGACTAATAGAGATGCAAGATGGAAAAGAGCCTGGTGCGGGGAAGTCAGACGGCAACGGTGCTTAGTTGGCTGCTGGGCTCTTCTGAAAACTTGGTGTCACGACAGCTCCTGCTGAGGGGCTGAAGCCATTGGGAAATCCAGCCCTGAGTGCGGGTGCTGAGCACTCGGAAATCGGACCCTAAATGGGACAGTCTGCCCCTGCCATAACCTGGTGCAGAGCGGCCGCAGCTGTGCCCAAAGGAGCTTGGCCCGAAGGGTCTTTAATACGAGGGATAAGGAATTTCTTTAATTGGTCCGACGTGCTCAAAATTAATCCCTGCTCCCTAAAACGGGAGCAGATTTACCCCCCACCTGGAATCTCAGATGGTTCGAGCTGTGTTCCTAGAAGGGTCAGTTCCACCCTCACCCCAGATCTGCTCCATCTGCATCCAATGTGCAGCTGGCCCAGGTGGGACCTGCTGCAAGCGGCGACGCCACGTCTCGGCCCCTGGCACACACATGCTCCACTCCCTCCCAGCGCGGCATGCCTCGGCGAGGCTGGCAGCAATGCCCGCCGTGCCTCTGCCTTTTAGGGGCCTTGTTTAACCTCCCCGCCGGGCGCTGCGGGGAGGTGCGAAAGGGTGATTAACTCTGTTCTACAGGTGGGTAAATGGAGGCAGGGGGAGAGGACGGGATATGCCCAAGGTCACCCAGCAGGTCAATGGCGGAACCTAGCCCCGGCCACTAAGCACTAGGCAATACTCCCCTGGGAAGTCTCACTCCCCTGACTTGACCACTCCCGAGGAACAGAACGCAGGCATCCCAGTCGAACCATTCAATTCCCTCCCAGCGCTGGAACAGAACCCAGGGGACCCAGGCCCCTGCTCTAACCACTCAACTCCCTCCCCGAATAGAACCCAGGAGTCCTGGCTCCTACTGCCCATTGCAGAGCTGCAATCCCAAGCCCACCTGTGCCAGGAGCTAGGAGCGAGCCTTTCCCGTGCACCCCCTTCCCCTGCCACCCCTGGCTCCCCGTGCATGGACGGCAGCCGAGTCGGGCTAGGGGACCAGCACATGCCTTGTTTTTTTCCAGCTGTAACTTTCCTCAGCCCAGAGCTGTTTTGGTGGGGGGAGTGAAACTGACGCGGGGCGGGGGGGAATTGACTGGGCCAAATTAGAGGCAGCCCCTTTGGTCAACCGTTTCCTCCCCCTCTTGCCCCGGTGAGTCCATCCTGACTGAATCCCTCCTCTCCATAGGAGACGGAGCAGGGGGCAGCCGGGTTAACCAGCCCCAGGCGGACAGACACGGGACTGGCCACAGACAGAACAGACCGGTGTCAGCAAAACATCAGACAGAAGACTCAGGGGTGTGGCAACCCCCTTTGAACCAGCTCCGGGCCCAGCCATGGGCCGAGCTTAGAGACCAAGGGCCAGATTTCTTGGGGGTTAGGCACCTAAATACCTTTCAAAACTGTCCCCAAGTGCCCTCAACTTGCAGCAAAGCCGAGACAGCTACGGGCGAGCGGCACCGCAGAGATCGGGCGCAGGAGGAGACTGGGTGGCTTGTATCTCCTTGGAAACAGTGGCCATCTGGGCAAAGACATTTGTCTGTAGGCCACTAGCTGGGATGACCCCCTCACCACCCCCAGCTAGCCTCTTGGGAGAGACCATAGCTGGGTTTGCGATAGTCCCATCAACGCACCATGGGCCCAATCCTGGGAAGCTGTGAGCACCCTCTCAGACGGTGCCGTGCATCCGCCTCGCCACATCCCCGGGGGGGAGTCAATCGGCGTCGCTCTGCATAGAGACATCGACGCCAATGGCATGATGCCAACTGGGGGTCTGGCCCCATTGACTCCAAGGGAGCCGTTGGGGAGGGTTTGCCCCATTGCCCTCAACAGATCGACTCTGATTTAAACCAGCCCAGGTGTCTGCCCTTAGTGTTGCTAACTGAGGGCCCTCAGGGCCTCAAAGGACCGATTGATCCTACTCTTAGCTAAGCCAGCTGCCTGAAGTGCCAAGCGCCCGATGCCAGTAGCCGGGTTCCAGGAAGCTGAAAGCACCATTGCTTTAACCAGATCCATTCCCCCCACTTTCTTCTTTTTTTCCGAGACTGCGAAGCGGAGAATGGAAGGGGGGCTAGCGGGGCGCTGGGGAGTTTTAATGTGGAACATGACCTTATTAACACACCTATCGCCAGCTTCGAATCTCTCGCCACTGCTGAAATTTCAACTTCAAACGCCTTGTTGGGTTGTGGGTTTTTTGAAATGTTCAAGCTTCGGGCGGCTTTTATTTTCCACCTCCGATCATTATTTCCTTTCCTTTTAATTAAAACCCCCTCGTTATCTTCTTCCCCCTTATTCAAAAAATAAAAAGCCAACTTCGAAACCTACCCGATCCCCCTCTTTAAAAAAAAAAAAAGACTGTCAGACACTTTTTCGCTGCACGATCACGTAGGATCATTAAAAAGGATTTTTCTTTTTTCTAAAAAAAAAAAAAAAAATCTTAAAAACAACCCTTTAAATAGCAACTCCAGCCGGTGAAATTTCTGTAGCCAATAAAATCTGAAAATAGCCCTGAACTGGGAGTTTGTCCTCAGCCGAAACCTAAATATTTGTGACTATAGCAGCCGGGCAGTTGGGTTTCTGAATCTTTCCCAACCTTTGCTCTGAAGGCAATCGCTGCTTGTGAAGGGTGGCGAGGCTAGAAAAAGTTTTTTCTTTAACTTGATTCCCCTCTTCCCAGTTTTGCCTTTCATCTAAACAAGGAAAACACCCCCTTCAGATTTAAAAAACATACCCTGTTAAATGGGGCACAGTCCTGGGTTGGTTTTGCAAAAGTCTATACACACACACACGCACACTCAGGCAAACTAAACACAGATCACACTGAAATCCAGGGCACCCACAATCAGTACCCAGGCGCTCCCACTCCAGAGTTTAGAGGAAACATCCTTGATCTCTATCGCTTCTCCTTCCTCTTGGTATATTTCACCCCCTCTTCAGCTTGCCTGCCCAGCACCCCCTTTGCCCAGTCCTTATAGCTTCACAATGGGTTTGATTTTAGGACACCCCCCCCCCCTCAAAATAAAAAGAAAATGCAAAGAAAGAAAGAAAGAAGGGGAGAGGAGAAAAAAAAAAGAGCTTCTTACTTTTTTTCAGCTCCTTGGGGTTTAGTTTCCACCTGGCTTGAGAAAACCCAATTGCTGCTAAGTCAGGATTCCCTAAGGCCCCTGAATACATGCAGTGGGGAGATTACCTCGAGGGCTGGAGATGCCATCTCTCTGTGTGTCCCAGCCTGGGGCGATTGCGGCAGATTTGGAGGAGAGACAGGGAGAGGGAACTAGTTGATCCGTAGTTAGAAGGGACTGGGGGGGGGAGCTCCTTCCCTTTGCACTAGGATCCACCCTCTAATTACAGCCTAGGAGCCTTTGAGCACCCGCTAGTATCCAATAAAGGAGGAGGGAAGGGGGTGGAGTGGGGGGAAGAAGTCAACATTTTCGGATTGATCCTTGTTTCCTCAGAGGTTAGAAAAGAAAGAAATGGGGGGTGGGGAGGATGGAGGGAAAGAAAAGAGGAGAAAAGAATGGAAAAGAGGAAAGGAAATCGAGGGAGGGGAACGGAGGAGGGAAAGAAAAGGGGAAAAAAGAATGGAAAAGAACAAATGGAGGGGGAAAGGGAGAGGGAAAGAAAAGAGAGAAACAGAGGGAGGGGGAAAGGATGGGGAAAGAAAAGAACAAAATGGGGAAGAAGTAGTGGGAGAGGGAAATGGTCGAAGGGAAAGAAAAGAAACAGAGGAAGGAAAAAAGGATGGAAGGAAAAGAGAGAGAGAGAGAAGACAACGAAATAAAGGAAGGAAAAGAATGGAAGAAAAGGAACAGAGGGAGAAAGGCTGGAAGAAAAGGAAAGAGAAGAGAAACGGAAGGAGCACAAGAAATAAAGGGAGAAGACGAATGGAGGAAAAGAGGGGAAGAAAAGAAGGAGGGAGAAAAGAAGCAAGTGGAGGAGGAGAGAAGGAAACAAAGGAGGAAGTCAGGAAAGGAAGAAGGAATGACAGGAAAGAGAAGGAGGAGAGGAGAAGGACTCTAGGGGCTGCATCCCAACTGCTCCCCACATCCCTGGTGCCGGCTGCTTGGGGTTTGCTGCGGCTCAGCCCCTGCTTTGCTTTCCCAGGGTTTTCGGGGGCTCTGCAGCAGCCTCCTTCGCTCCCAGTCAAGCAATGGAAAGGGGGGAAGCCAGGAATAGGGAGCCGGGCGACATTCCGCTCCCTGGCCCCTTGGGAGGTTGGGGCTGGGTCTCTCCGCCAGGGCACAAGGCAATGCCGGGGGGCTTGGGGGAGGCTGCGTCTGCGGGATGGATGAAGGCTAACCCTGCAGTCCTCACACCCTCTCCGTTCCTGCTCAGGCTGAGAAGCTGGGGGTGGGGTAGTCTGTAAACGGACTGAAGGATCAGGCCCAAATGCTTCAACATCGATCCTGACCCTATTTAAGTCCCTAGGAGTTTTGCCGTCGACGTCAAAAAGAGCAGGATTCCAGCTCAGATTCACTCCCACTCCTCTTCCAGAACACGCTCGCCCGAGGGCTGATCCGGTTCCTACGGGGTGGGGGGGCCCGATCCAGCCTCCTGCCGCCCTCTGGGCAGAGGTTTACACAGGCCCAAAGCGCTACCAGGATCAATGCGGTGGCCAGTTCGCCCCCACGTTTTGCACTGGGGGCACAAGCCGCAGGGCCAAGGTGCTGAGGGCCCCTGCGTGCAGGTGGGACGAGGACAAGGGGTATGAGAGTCCGGCTATCTGTCTGGCTGTCAGCCAGAGGATCAAGGAGTGAGGAGAAGCGGGGAAGAAAAGGGGATAGGAAGGGAGAGAACTGAGAGGAGAGAGAAAGCAATGACTGTACAAAAGAAAAGAGAAGGGCAGACAGGCCAGGTCAGCAAAGAGAAAAGTCACGAAGGAAAAGGTGAAAGAGCGAGACAGCGAGTGGGACCGGGACAGAGGCGCTGGGGGTGGCTCTAACTGACAGGCCGAGGGGAGGTGTACATTGCGCCGATTTAGTCTCATGTAGAGCCAGAGTCTGATTTGCATTTACCCTGGTGGAAATATGGAGTCGGCAGCCTTGCTCTGCATTTAAACCGGCGTAAAGCTGGACTAAGCGGCACTGCCGTGCATTGACACTGGGGTGAATCTGGAGTGAGCAGCGGTGCCCTGCATTGACACTGGGATAAATCTGGAGCGAGCAGCCTTGATGTGCTTTTACTCAGGTATAAATGAGAGCAGAATCTAACCTGATCAGAAGGACCAGCGTTCGCTCTGTGTGGCATTGGGAACATAGGATTCGATGGTAATTTGCCTGCTTCTAGCAAATAAAATGCTCAGCATCGACGGGCTCCACTCCATCTCCAGCGATACCCCACAACTCCTTGCACTTGCTTTTGAAAGGTTGGAGACTTTCAGACTGTTGATTATGCTTCACACCCCAGTAGCACTTAAGATCCCATCGTGCCGGGTGCTGAACGAACACAGCGTGAGCCACAGGCCCTGCCCTGGAGAGCTTGCAGTTTAAATGGACAAAGGGTGGGAGGGGAAACTGAGGCACACAGCAGGGGTGTGATTTGCACATGGACACCCAGCAAGCCAGTGGCAGAGCCAGGAATTAAAAACCAGGGCCCCAGCCTAGCGCCCTGTCCCTGCACTACATTCACAGAGGCCCTGCAATGGTGCAATGCAAGTATCACAACCGTTTCACTAATAAAATCAGACAGTCTTTCATCTGCTGAGTCCCCTTCCTACCCTCCTCCCTACAAGGACAGGCCTTGCATTGGGTCTGTTCAGACCTTTCTTTGACTGGATTTTCCTTTTTAGTTAGCAGGGGGGAAGCCACTAATTAAAGATACAGCAGCTCGCTGCCCATTTGGAGGCCACATTTGGAAGTATTTATTTTTTGTGCATCTGAAGTCAACGGGTGTGGGGTGGGGGGGAGAAGGAATCAGCAATTGGTGGAAAGGGGAGGGGGGAATCAAAGACTGCAGTGGCATGCGCTCCTGACCTCAGACTGATTTTCCAACATGACATTAAAGACCTTTTTAAAAGGAACGTAGCCAGAATGGCAAAGCCGGGGGAACTCGTCAACAGAGACGCCAGCGGCCGGGGAGGAAATAAAGTATTCTCCCCTGTTTCCAGCCTTCGCTTCTTGCAAGTGTGTGACAGAGGGTCAGCGCTCAGAGATCCTGGCGCATCTGCTGGGAGGTTGGGCTGTGCGAGGAGCTCACAAGAGGGATTGTTATATGGCATGTTAGAAACTGAGATGGGCCTGCTACGGCAGGCAGCCTTGTCTTTTGATTAGAGAAGGGGGCTGGGCTGCTGGGATTCCTGGGTTCTATTCCCAGCTCTGGGAGCGGAGAGGCAGTCAGGGGTCCTGGGTTCTACTGCCCACTCCAGACGGACAACGCGTGATCTAGACGCCAGAGCAGGGGGGTGTCTGGGACTGGGAGTCAGGCCTGCTGGGTTCTGTGCCTGTTTCTGACACTGATGTGCTGTGTGAACTTGGGTGGAGTCGCCGCCCCGCCTTGTGCCTCAGTTTCCCCATCCCTACAAAAGGGGGTGGCGAGCCTGCCTTTGAATGTCTAAGATGAAAGGCAGTAAGGAAGCACCAGGTGTCAATGTTTGGAGCCCGCCTAGGGCTGATTTAGTGCTTTGCATTGAAACCAAGTGAAGCTTGTATTTAAGCTTTAAAAAAACAAAAAAAACCCTAATCACATAAAAGCCGATGGGTTGAAGCGAGCTTCGGCCTGGAATCGGGGGCGGGGGGCGGTTTTGCATGGCCCTAAGGAAGAAAAATGCAACAGAGCGGACCCTTGTGCAGCCCAAAGGAGTGAGGGAAAGAGCATGTCTAACCCACTGGGGAGAATGTATTACAGAGCCCTCTCTCTGCCCAGTTCACAGAGGATATGTCTCCTACAGCCGGGGGATATGTCCTAGGTTTGCCCCCCAGACTTGGGTTTGCCCCCCAGACTTTGCATAGGTCTATGCACTCCACTTGTTCTCCCCCCAACTTTGCTGGATATAACATACAATGGTCTCTATGCTGACACAACCTTGCCCCGACCCTGCCTCCCCGCATCTTTCTGAAATGACACCCTGGCTCCTTAGCTCAAGCTTGCACTGTCAGGCTTGGAGGTCCCTGGTTCAGCTGGGAAGCTCCAACTCTTACACTTCCAGCTCAAAGGAGGTTTCCATTTATTGGAGGGATAGCTCGGTGGTTTGAGCATTGGCCTGCTAAACCCAGGGTTGTGAGGTCAATCCTTGAGGGGGCCATTTAGGGATCTGGGGCAAAAATCTGTCTGGGGATTGCTCCTGCTTTGAGCAGGGGGTTGGACGTTGATGACCTTCTGAGGTCCCTTCCAACCCTGATATTCTAGGATTCTAAGGCCCCTGGTGCCCAACTATGGAAGGGCTCCTGCTAAAACCTCCCCCTAGACCATATCAGTGCTCCTGGGGCCTCTGTTGTGCCTGGGATTCTGAGGGAGAATTCCTCATTTTCTGAGCTTGCAAACAATGGTGTTGCCAACTCTGGCGGGCTCCGGGATGTTTCTTAAGGCCCCATGGTTCAGATTAGAGACAGTCGGAAAATAGTCACTGTTTTTGCAGAACAAAATGAAATTTTCTACCTAACATTTTTACGTTTTTGCCCCCCTCCAAAAAGTCACCATTTGGGGTCTCCCCCCCTCTTTTCCAGCAGCAAAATGGGGAAAGGAGAATGTTTTTGATTTTTGGTTCTTTGACCAAAACCAATGGGAACATTTTGAACAGAACGAACATTGATGCCGTCGGGAAAACAGCTGGGAAATGTTTTTGAATGAAATAGTTGAAGCCGTTCTCTTGTTGATGCACCATGCAGCCCAGCCAGACCTGCAAAGGGTGGCAGCTTGGTCCCTTTGTCGCTGTGGGACAGCCTACCCCATGCCACACTGATGCCTGCTGGGAAACGCGGAAACAAGCTTCACCGTAATACGGCTTTCTCTGGGCGTTGCCATAAAAACCTCTCCCTCTCTGCCTGATGTGGCAGTGGAAACACAATAGGGTGTTGAAATCAACGCTGCCTGACGCTCACGCTATTTGGTGTTTGCCTGAAAGACCCAGCTCCTGGAGTCTTGTGACTATGTGAGAATCTCAGCTTGCATTTGAAAGAAAATGGATGTTTTTAGCTCTCGTGGCTTCAGAGGAAAACTGGAAAATATGATACCAGACAGTGCAAAGAGCCAGCAGGCCAGTGCCGTAACAAGGGCGAGGCGAGTGAGGC